CAGTGTTATTGTAGACGATACCTATGTCACACTCCTCAGCTGAATACACACGTCTCACACAACGACTGCTTCCAGCTGACAGACTGAAGAGCGTGGCTGAGGTGCGGATCTGCTCTGATGAACACAGACGCTGTGAGGAGGCTACGATGTACCGCCGCACACACAGGTACCTGCACATTCAGCATCACCGCTCTGTGTGTTTGACCATTCAGCTACAGAGCAGGGGGAATGATGGGAGATTTATGACATCTCGGGACAACCATGATACAGATTGCTGTAGTTAGTTCTGGCTTTGCATTTAAAGGTTTATGGCTGAACTTCCTTTCAGATTGTACAATCAGTTAGAGGAAGTTAAACAGAAGAAGGAGCTGCGGAGCCGTCAGGAATCGTACGCTAAGAACCGGGAGAAGGCCAGAGACTTCCAGAGGGTGAGACGCGTGAGCAGGACACTCAGAACACACAATACTGGAGCTCTTGAGACGGGATGAGTCTCATAAATTCTGAAAACATGTTTCACCCTGAAATCAACTTGATGCCAGACATCTTCGTAAGGGTTTGGTCACACTGAGCCTTGCACAGGAAGATTCCTCAGCTGAAATAGTCTGCAAAATCCCCATCGAAATGACTTGTTTTCCCTCGGGTCACAGTCTGCTGAACTGTCACACATGAACTGGCTGCCAAACCAAGCAAATTACTGCAGCTGATTTAGCTTTCACACACACTTCACATTCGCCTCACGAGGATCTTTTCATTTCTTTGCTTGTGGGCTGAAATATGACTGAAGTTAAGCCAGATATTCGCCACGATCTGGAGGTTATGATGTGTGATGTGCCTCTTTATCTCTTGCAGAAGACGCTGGAGAAACTGAGGGCCAAACTGAACCGCTGACGTGTTTGGAGATTCATTGCTGCTGTTTGTCATTGGTCTCAATCAGATTTTAAAGTGTCAAGCAATTTTGTGTCTGTATGTTGTGTATTTTAAGTAAAATGCTGTTTTAATTTAATTGAGTCATCAGTGTGATTGTGAATAATAATACACTACTTTCTTTTCCTATTGGTCTCTGGACTTGTCAGTCTGCAGTAAACAAAGCAGATGTCATTACATCTATTACTAGTCATTCAAGACTAAACCTCATGGCCCTGACAGAGACGTGGATCAAACCAGAGGACACTGCTGCTGTTTGTAGTGATCTCCGTGTTAGATCGCCTCACTCTAGTGGTTTTAGATCTCTTTGGGCTTAAATATTAATTAGGGGTCAAGCACCACATTTTTTGAAAGTTTGAAAAACCTACTTTTCCGAGCTCGTCCTAGACGGTTTGTCTGATTTTCACACAATTTGGCTCGGATCATCTTAGACCATGCTGGCAAAAAGTTAAGGAATTCAAGTTGATTAGTCAAACCGTTTTCGAATAATGTGCTAATTAATTTGACGAAGAGCACACAAAAAAGAACATGAGGCTATATCTCCGCAACGCTTTAACGTATTGAGACCAAACTTGGTGTGTGTTATAATAACCATGACCTGAGGCTACCTGCACAGTTTCGCCACAGCGCCACCTAGGGGTCAGGAGATATGAAAACGCTATATTTTTGCTTATAACTTCTGAAAAAATTGCAAAACTGGTCTCTTTAGATTCGGTGCAATTTTCCCATGTCGGCCATTTTGAATTTTGACCTAAAATGATATATTTTACGAACGCATTGGCCTCTGCTCCACTCTGACGTCTTGTTTAGACACTGTCTGCCCCTCTAACAGCTGACGACTTTGCCACATTCTTCATTAATAAAATTACAACCATCAGTGCACAATTTTCCACACTACAAACTGGCAAACATACACCGGCTCGATAACCTCACTACTTCAGTGGCCCAAAAGATCATCAGGTTCTCACAAGTCCTGCAAGTTCAGAGGATTTAATCAAACAAATGAGACCAAAATATATACTCCTAGTCCATCTGTTCAGAGGTGTTTTCAATCAGTGAGATGACTATCAGGCGTCAGTGTCTGCCCTGTTTTACTTAAAGAACAGGGATCTCTCAAAGTCTGATCATGTTTGTGGAAGTGAATCATGGCACGAACAAAGGAGATCTCTGAGGACCTCAGAGAAAGAGTTGCTGTTTCTCATCAGGCTGGAAAAGGTTACAAGTTGAGTTTGGACTCCACAAATCCACAGTCAGACAGCTTGTGTACAAATGGAACAATTCAAGACCATTGTTACTCTCCCCAGGAGTGTTTGACCAGCAAAGATCACTCCAAAAGCAAGACATGTAATAGTCTGCGAGGCCGCAAAGGACCCCAGGGTAACTTCTAATAAACTAAAGGTCTTTTTCACATTGGCTGATGTTAAAGTTCAGGAGTCCACCATCAGGACAACAATCATGCTGTGCAATGCAGAGTAGCAAGAAGAAAGCCACTTTTTTGTTTGTTTAAATGAGAAGCATTTTGTTTGGAGAAAGGAAAGCACTGCGTTCCAGCACAAGAAACGCATCCCATCTGTGCTAGTATCATGGTCTGGGCCTGTTTAGCTGCATCTGGAGCAGGACAGCTTGCCATCATTGATGAAACGATGAATTCTGAATTATACCAGCAAACTGACGGAAAATATCAGGACATCAGTCCGAGAACTGAGTCTCAAGAGAACGTGGGTCATGCAGCAAGGCAACACAAGTCACTTGGGATAAAAGCATCTGCTAAATGACTACATGTAAATGCTCATAACTTGTATAACTACATTGTGAGATGTAAACTCGCAACTGTGAGAAAAACTAACTCAGATACACCCTGGATTTACAGACAATGAAAAACAGTGCCAGCTGTAACAACAATTGCACAAGAGCCTTTTACATAACAGCTCAGGCTGAGTGAGGTCTATAGCTCACCGAAGATTAATGCACTTTCTGATTAATGAATGTGTATCACGGCAGCAGATATGAATGACTGGCTGATGATCTGAGGCATTCCAGCCTGAGGGGGTTCATGTGTATGGAAGGCCGACCTGGCCAACAGTCTTTAAACGGCAGCCAATGAAGTTGCTGTATTTGAGACGATATTTGCATATGTGACACGATGGCATGCACGTATGCAAACATCAGACGTTATGTTTGTTCGTGAGGGATAATGCATCGGTACGTTGTGTGTGATGTCAGTTATATGTAAACATCTAAATAGGACATGAGAGATCATTAGTTCAACGTTCATTCTCAGATAGAAAAGTCTTAATTGACATTGTAACACTAATTAATTTATTTTAACATGGTAGACATCAGTAAAGCTATGCTGCAATAAACTAAAGAAAGGATTAATACGTGGGTAAATTTAGAGGTAAATAAGCTTTAAAAAGTATTACACGTTCAAACATGGCCAGAATGTGTACGTGTTGAGAGACACGTTCAAATGTGTTGCCTTAAAACGGTAAAACTGTGTCTTTAAACGTACTACAGAAACATGGCCAGAATGTGTCTACACGTACAAAAGAAATGCGTTCAAAATTCCTGCATTAACGTGGACAAACTGCGTGCTGAGACGGTCAAATTTCAAGACTTCTAGTCTCAGCTTGAGACTGAAATAAAATAAAAATTGGTTGAATTCTACAGGATTTCCAGGTGATGCCAAACCCCTCATGTTAGAAGAACGCCTTCAGGTTTACAGCTGTGACGATGAGCGCTTATCAGGATCAACTAAATGCTGGGTTTTTAAAAGTATGGGAAATATGTAAAGTTCACAGCATAGACTCTTTATAATACGTCCAAGAGTTTTACACATCGGTCTGTTTGTTGTGGGTACTTTTCCACGCCCCTAAACATGACGCGGCACAAAACGAAACGTGATTGGTTGTTTTACCTGTCAGTCATATGTCCTCTTGGGCGGGTCTTGCCATTCAAAGCGGCCAAGGTTCCCAGACCTTCTGCATCAGTCTGAAACCCATCTTACTTCTGTGCCGGTTTTTCCAAGCAAGATTGGATTGGATCACCCTGATCCAGATACACACTATTTCAGATTTCCAAATCTGGATTACTAATGCTCTACGGAGCTCCTAAAGGGACATGCTGATGGGGAAAAAATGCCAATGTTTTGCATTCTAGTTTTGCATTGCATTTATACAAATAACTACTTTGGCACAATCATCAGAGATGGAACAGTCAAATGCAGTTTACAATCAGTGATTTAAAAAGAAAAACTTTAAATATTTTTGTTTGATATTGACAGCTGTTTGGGGATATATTACATGTTACAAATGTTGTATTTTTTGGACCAGTTTTAAAGTTTTATTACATGTTTGTTCCTGAAATCCATCCTTCCGCTGGGATCAGAATAATCCAGTTTTTTGGATCAAAAGTATCCCAATCTTACAAACGTTTTGAACAGCACAAACTGAGGATTTAATCCAGATCAAAACCAAGATCGGATTTTGTGATCTTATCCAAATTCAGAATCCCTTTTCTTCTTCTTCTTTTGAACAACCTATTTTCAAGATTTGATCCAATCCGATTTGTCCAAAAGCCGATCAGATTACTAATTGAACAACTGGCCCCCGGCTGCACGAGACTTCTGGCCCCGTCAGCCTTCCATACACGTGCTCATGTGGAGGCGGACACACTTCTCTCAGCACGGGATTGAGTGGGTGGAGCTCTGAGTGATAGAGCATATTGATATTTAACACCTTAATAAAACAAATTATGTGACGTGCCTTCCACCCACTCTAATTGGAAACAACTTAGAAATTAGGTAAGAAAAAAAACATACCGATGAGGTTGACAAGTTTTTTTTTTCTTTTAATAATTCATACCTTAATTTTTAAATCTTTTTTTTTTTTTTTAACAGACATTTAGAAATATTGATATAAATGTTTTTTTTTTTTGTAAGATGCATGCTTCAATTATATACTGAACGTAAAAAAGTTAATTCGTGAGTCGTATTTCCTGTTGGAAACTCCTGACCAATCAGAGCAGTCGGCGAGTGAGCGGGTGTGATGTGATTGGCCGGCTCAGAGTCGCGATGAATGGCAGAAGCCCGAAGCGGTCAGAGCTACGCTGTTCGCCCGAGTGAAGCGAGCTCTCCTGCGGCTACCGGAGGCGCTTCTCTCCCGCCCGTGCATTCAGGTAAACCGCTTTTATAAGAGCATGTGAAGTCACACAGCTCATGAACTATCCAGTGTCTTGTTTATTTGTTGTTGTGGGAAGTGAGCGAATATGATCTGAGCTGTGCATGAGTGTGTGTCCGTGTTTGTGCAGCGCGCACGAAGCCCCTGAGGCTGATGCAATAACTCTCTGCTCCGATGAATGAATGAATGAATGAACGCGTTTAACGCCTCGCTGCCGCTCTGAGACTTATGTAAATGAGCGCAGGTTCCGCGGCTGCAGTGTCTCCCGGGCTCAGCATGACCGCCGCGGCGCAGACGCAGGAGCTCTTCCGGTGCGCGGACGCCGTGTGCTTTGACGTCGACAGCACCGTGATCCGCGAGGAGGGCATCGACGAGCTCGCCAAGTTCTGCGGAGTCGGAGACGCGGTGACGGAGATGTCAGTAAACCGGCTCTCATACTCACAGAACATCACACACACACACTCACACGCACACACTCACTCTCACTCACACACACACACACACACACACACACTCACTCACACACACACTCTCACACACACACACACACACACACACACACACTCACACACACGTGTGGTCAAGCAGCCTAGCTAGTGTACAGATGCTGGTGTAGTGTGCAGTGTGACAGCACATCTCTGGTCCGCAGGACTCTGAAGGCCATGGGCGGCTCCGTCTCATTCCACACAGCTCTGAGTGAGCGTCTGTCCATCATCAAGTGCTCGAGGGAACAAGTCAACAAGCTGATCACTGACCACCCGCCTCAGCTGACGCCAGGGATCAAGTAAGTTGGTATCCATCCTCATTTCTGGAAAGATGCTTCAACATGGTTCATTTTATATACAACACTGCCAAAGTCACAATACACAACAACAACAATAATAAATTGTTTAAAATCAATAATTATAAGGTGCCAGTAATGTTTACAACAATTCTATTAAGGTATACACTTCATACACTATATTATTTACACTTTACACTATATACACTATAGGCTACACAATATACTATACATACTATACATTATTTACATGCAGTATACAGAAAAATACATGGGCCGGAGTGACTTCTAGTATTATTGTGGAGCTTTTATTATGATTTTAAATGTATTTATTATGCCTCCTAATGCTAGAATAGTTTTTGTTATGCACCGTACAGACAAATTATTACTTTTCAAGAGACATATAAACATCTTCATTGCATGCCTTTTGATGTTTGGGTATGTGTCGTTAGGGAGGGCAGCATAGAAGTCAATGAGATCGTTGGGCTTAAATGCGTCTTTCAGAACATCACAGTTCTGTAACTCGGCCAACTCAAACTGATAAGAAGGCAGGGCTTCATCAATGTCGGCAGCAAAGGGGTTCTGGAAAAGGCGGATTTCTTTAGCGTGGACATGTAGCTCACGGAATCGCACGTCAAACTCCGCCTTCAGCATTTCCAGCGCTTCCACGGCCTTTTCAGCTGGGAATGGAGCCACTGGCTTCTCAGCTGAGAGACTTTGGGTAACGGGGAGATGAGTGAAGTCTTGCTTTTGCACTTGTCCCACAAGCAGTGCGCACTGAACAAAACAAATATCACTTGTCCACTTTTGGTTAAATACCCTGCATTCTGAATCAACCGTTCTCTTTCCCAACCGCTTGGCCACTTTGTCGTCTCTTTGAATTTTTTCGCTGGTTCACCTGTTCGATCGCGATGGTACGTTATGTTGAACGTACCATTCTGTTGGTAGGTGAATTTAACAAATAATTAGGCTACGTTAATAACTAAGGGAAATTTTAGTCTGAAAGCCAATATTTATTATCAAATATAGACATGATATAAGTGAAACCGTATATTTACAATTACATTTTCAAAATATGTCTCTGGCAGTTCAGCGGGCCGGTCCAAATGTGGGGGTGGGCCGCAGTTTGGGGACCCCTGATATAGACTATACATGCAATACACAATATGCATTATACATACTATTCAATATATACACTTGACTCTATACATAATATACACTTTATATACTCTGCATACTGTATATTACACTATACACAATATACTGTAATATATATAAACATAAGACTGCAAGGAGCTAAAGATAAAACTCAACACCTGTATAATTGCATGTTACTAATGAAGAAAACCAGACTGAGTGTGTGCACAACATGTGACCGCATTTATAGCATGCATTGAGGAGGAGCCCAAACTACACTCAGTGGCCAAGTGATGCTGACATAGTTATGGTCTGTGATATTGACACAGATTTTGTGTAATAATCGATTCTTTATGACTGTGTATGGTTCTCAAGTTGTAAAAGACATTTAGTTCCCGGGCCATATACAAGATGAGACATGAACTCATGGCAGTAAGATAATAAATAACTACATGATCCACACTATAGACTGTATAGCGACTCTGTCCCGATGCTGCGTGTTTCTGTGCTCAGGGAGCTGGTGGAGAAGCTTCATCAGCGTAGCGTGAAGGTGTTCCTCGTCTCCGGTGGGTTCCGCTGCATCGTTGAACACGTGGCGTCGCAGCTCAGCATCCCGCTCCATCACGTCTACGCAAACCGCCTCAAGTTCTTCTTCAACGGTAAGAGCTGCCGCTGGCTCGCGGGCCGCTGGCGCTAGCTAGTGACTAACACGAGTGTGCTGTGTCTCAGGAGAGTACGCTGGCTTCGACGAGTCTCAGCCCACAGCACAGTCCGGCGGGAAGAGCCGGGTCATCAGCATGCTGCAGGAGGAGTACGGCTTCAGAAACATCGTGATGATTGGAGACGGAGCCACGGACCTGGAGGCCTGTCCTCCTGCGGTGAGTACATCATACTCTGACCGATGCACGAGCTGCAGTACTTACAGTCCGTCCGAGCCGCTGTCCTGTGCTTTCAGAGCGCCTTCATTGGGTTTGGTGGGAACGAGTGTGCTGTGTCTCAGGAGAGTACGCCGGCTTCGACGAGTCTCAGCCCACAGCACAGTCCGGCGGGAAGAGCCGGGTCATCAGCATGCTGCAGGAGGAGTACGGCTTCAGAAACATCGTGATGATTGGAGACGGAGCCACGGACCTGGAGGCCTGTCCTCCTGCGGTGAGTACATCATACTCTGACCGATGCACGAGCTGCAGTACTTACAGTCCGTCCGAGCCGCTGTCCTGTGCTTTCAGAGCGCCTTCATTGGGTTTGGTGGGAACGTGGTGCGGCAGCAGGTGAAGGAGAAGTCCTCGTGGTACGTCTCCAGCTTCGGAGAGCTGCTTAAAGAGCTGGAGAAGATCTAGAGAGGACTGACTGGAGTTTAGCATACTCTGTGCTCATGCACTAGCTTTGTGCCTTTCCTAGTTTCACCTAATGCACAATTTTTAATGGTCGTATGTCTTTAGAGTTTATTATTGAAACGATTGTTTATATAGAAGATGATGCAAACCAGCAGAGGTCTGCTGTACTGTACAGTGAGCATTTTAACTGATGAAACTTGACTCATGTTTGGATGTCAGACTTCGAGAGAACACTGTATCATGACTGTTTCTGAGCTAACAACTGTCTACTTCAGTATGCATATTTGAAAAAGAGCATTTTTAATATTGGTCAAGAGAGAATAAACAAGTAACAGCTGTTGCGTGTCTTTTATCGGTGTAAACATGACACAGTGTGGTAGATTTATGATTTATTGATTACAGTATTGTTTGCTGTTAAAGCCCCGTCAGATCAGCGTACAGTAGCCCGAGCATGCTGCGATCACACAAACTAGATCAGATCAGAACAGCTTCATCCACAACACAAAAACATGTCTATGTAGAAACAGAATGTAAAATAAAATACAGCAACTAAAAAAAAAAACATAATTTGCACACAACCCGTCCCCGATGAGGCTTGTCCCGCTCCAGCTGCACAGATTTGCTTAAACAAGGGCTGTTTAGTAACCAACAGTGTATTTAGATTTCATCTGGTTAATAACTGATCTGAATATGTAGGATGGATTCTGCTGTAGGTTATTAAAACATGAAACAGTCTCCATGTGGGGGTTTATATTTACAGCTTATAAATATGCAATAAATACATGACTAGATTGCCACACAACCCGTCCCCGCTGAGGCTTGTCCCGCTCCAGCTGCACAGATTTGCTTAAACAAGGGCTGTTTAGTAACCAACAGTGTATTTAGATTTCATCTGGTTAATAACTGATCTGAATATGTAGGATGGATTCTGCTGTAGGTTATTAAAACATGAAACAGTCTCCATGTGGGGGTTTATATTTACAGCTTATAAATATGCAATAAATACATGACTAGATTGCAGCAGGGTGAACGGTAAACGTTTGCTTTCTGACAGAAGTCCGTTCATACACGTCTGCATTAACTACGGCATTCAAATATGATTGTTTTGAGATCTGGTGAATCAAAGATGCAGCGGCCACCAGACCAGAAGGGGTTAATACTCTACACTTACGGTAATTTAATGCACTTTTATATCCTTTACATATTCCAATGAAACTTTATTTAACAGATCTAGGCCGAGCGATATACAGATTCACGCAAGCAGCAGATTTCAGATACGTCTACGTCATAAGAAAGATTCTCGAAACTTACAGCCTTCATTCCTACAAATTCAGTTGGGTTTGCTGGTGCAATTATTACGGTCCGAGCAAGTGTGTAGTGCGTGACGTTGGGTGGCATCAGGGCATCATGAGATAATCACGGCAGTGGAAGTATCCGACGTCTCGGTCTGGTCTGGAGCTCATGGGGATGATTTGGATGGATGCATTACTGGAGAGGAGACGCTTTCAGCGGGATCATTATCCTGGACTCCATGTGCTGGATGAGGGGCACTGAAAACAACACAACCTTACGGGTCATTTTGCATCAAAATATAACAAAATCACTAGACATCAGCGATAATCAAATGGAAATACTGACACTAAATCTGACTTTTCATGCTGTTTTAGAGCAGCAAAATCACTTCCAGGAGTTTTTGAAACGTTAAAACCGCTCTCATCTATAAATGCATGCAGACTTATGAACAGGAATGAGTTATACTAGTAGACCAGGAGAAGACTTCAGTTAAATGCATCTAGTGATGGCAGAGCTGTAGCTGTGGCGTGTGTTTACCGGTGTAATAGACCACTTCATCCCAGCCCTCGTGCTGCCAGGCGGCGTTCCTCGTGTCCTCTCTGGACTGCAGGTCCTTATACGCTGAAACAGATGGACAACACTACACACATCAGAGGTTTGCATCATTGATTCTGTTATTAATGCGAAGCTGCTTTGAAGCGGTCTGTGTTGCAGGAAGCGTTATAGAAGTAAACGTGACTTTGAGCACTTCTGGGAGTCTGTCTGGCGGCGTGTGATCTCTCTCACCCCAGAGATGATGCACCATGTAGAGGTCTCCTATCTGAGAGAAGAAGCCGCCCACTGCCTCGCGGTTGTGCTGCCGGTAGCTGATGGCTCTGGCCCTGAGGAACAGGAACAATAATCACACTTCTGAATGATGAAGATCACACAGCTCTTTATAAAGGCCTGCTCACAGCAGCAGTGAGACAGAGGAATGGATTCAACCAGGAATGAAATGATCAAAAATCAACACCGACGCATTTGGTAGTGACTTGCAGTCAGGCTTTATGTTTTTTCATGCTCATGCACTGGCTGGGGACTGAAGGCACGCTCTTTCCATTGTTAGAGCTACTGTGAAGGCAATCACTAATGAAAGCTGTATTTACACCAGAAGGAGAGGGAACACCAATAGGTTCTTCACTTTTATGACGCCATGAGCAATGCAGTTCTCTATTATAGACAGTGTGTGTAATGCACATCACATCATAATGACTTCTGAAATCATAAACACTCTCAGGAATCTAGCATGAGAATTTGAGGATCGCAACAGTCCTACGTTTGTGAAATTGAACTGATCTGAACACATTCTGTAGCACTGAATAAATGAGCTTGAAAACATTAAATATGCTGCATTACAGCAGTGCATGCATATAAAACACTTCATTTCAATGATTTGAATTGTGTTTTGAGCTCTAAACATTTTATAATTCAGTCTTCTGAGTTATGTATTGCTTGCGCTCTTACCAATAGTTGCCCCATTCAATCATGGTCCCGGGCTGCAGGAGACAAGAAAAAGGACAACCGTGAATCTGAATTCATTTCAAAAAGCCTTCGGCTAGCCTGTAGGACTGCTGATGTGTAACACCTACAGTCTGGTCACTTTGGTTTTGCTGGCAATACACACACACACACACACACACTCTCTCTCTCTCTCTCTCTCACACACACACACTCTCTCTCTCACACACACACACTCTCTCACACACACACACACACTCTCTCTCTCACACACACACACTCTCTCACACACACACACAAACTCTCTCACACACACACACACTCTCTCTCTCCCTTCCTGTACTCCAGGAAGTCCTGCTCAACACGACAGACGTCAGCGCTTCAGCGGCAGCTGCTCTGAGACAGCATTTCAACAGCTGAACCGTGCAGTGCACTTTTACACTGCCGTAAAACACTACAGTGTGGGATAACATCTGAAAACCTCAGGAAAGGTAAATATAGTTTCAAACATAACTTGAAGTCGCGTGATTGTGTGTGAACAGCGCCACCTGCAGACGTGAGCTCATTATTAGCAAGTCACCATAACCATTCAACACAACATGCTACTTTCACCATGTATATTCATGCTAACACTCGCCTTGAACAGTGCTGAAGTGTTATGAGATGTGGATAATAGTAAATATGAGTGCACTGAAGTTATGGGTGTATACTGATCACACAAACCCATAATATCTTATAGTGTGCAGTCGTTTACCTTGTTGTTCTTCAGTTTGTTCATGACTTCAGTCAGAGCTGGATATCCTCCTCTGTACCGCCACAAGTGCACTACATAGTGAACCAGAGGCTAGTATGTCAGCGCTCACAGAAACACAAATCTCTTCCTCAAACAACTAACATCTAATATAATATACACACGTCAAATCAACCAAATTTCAGAAACTCCCTTCAATAAAATTGTTAATTTTGTTAATATTTTTTCTGAAAAGAGACCAACATAAACAATGATAAAAGCCAAAATATTAAATGTCATGGATGAATATTTACTGAGTAATCCACTATTTGGTAGACGGGGTCAAATCGACAAATTACAGAAGGCTGAAAATGAGTTCAGAAAGCTGGCAGCATCGTGATGTTATCTTCACACAGAGACTGTGTGAAATCTGATGACTTTATGACATTATGTGTGTTCACAAGTGGGAAAAAACACTTTTCAGGCCTGCATAGCTGTAACTCAAGACGTATGAAAGTTATCGTTTATATTTCAGCTCTTAAAGGGATAGTTCACCCAGAAATGTAAATGTGATGTTTATCTGCTTACCCCCAGGGCATCCAAGATGTAGGTGACTTTGTTTCTTCAGTAGAACACAAACAGAGATTTTTAACTCAAACCGTTGCAGTCTGTCAGTCATATAATGGAAGTGGATGGGAATCACGGCTTTGAGAGCCAAAAAAACATACACAAACAAAACCAAATTAAACCCTGCAGCTCGTGACGATACATTGATGTGTAAAGACACGAAACAATCGTTCTGTGCAAGAAACTGAACATTGGACCATTGCCACTCCTAATTGAGATTGTAGATAGAGTGTCAATGGTCCGTTAGAGAGATAGGTGGCGATAATGCACTTATAAGTCTGCGATCCGCCGTAAAGCAAGAAGAAGAAGACGCGAACGCGCTCAGGACAGTTCAGACATTGCAGTAAATCAGAGGTAAAAAACAATATAAATACTGTTCAGTTTCTTGCACAGACCGATTGTTTCGTGTCTTTACACATCAATGTATCGTCACGAGCCGCAGGGTTTAATTTGGTTTAGTTTGTGTATGTTTTTTTGACTCTCAAAGCCGTGATTCCCATCCACTTCCATTATATGACTGACAGACTGCAACGGTTTGAGTTAAAAATCTTCGTTTGTGTTCTACTGAAGAAACAAAGTCACCTTGGATGCCCTGGGGGTAAGCAGATAAACATCACATTTTCATTTCTGGGTGAACTATCCCTTTAAGAAACGTTTCTTCCGGTCTCTCTGAACATTCCTACCAGCTTGGTCCTGCTCTCCGTACCAGGTGTTCCAGGTGCCCACCAGCTCACAGGGGTAGTTCTGGTCAGCGTGGATGGAGGGCAGCACCTCATCACTGCGGACACAAGGCTCAGTCTGGTTTCATGTCATTAACACCTCGCTCACTCGTGCTGGAGAAGGCTGACTTACCAGAGTTTGTTGTAGGCCTCGAGGCACTCGGGCTTCACGTTGTGAACTACAACACAAGCGATATAACTGAGTTAATGAACAAGTCGCACACTGAGAGCATTTACAGCAGAGGGCAGAACCTACACTGGATTTTATATAAGTTGTTGTCCTCTTTCTTGGCTAGCAGATGGGAGTGAGCATCTTTTCTGGGGTCCACCTTCCGCACAAACAGTGATTTGAACCAGCTGTCCTCTCGGTTCCGGTTATTAGACGCCGACAGACCCCTGAAACAAGACCACTTCTGCATTATTATTACACATACATAGACTTGAATGTTACATTGCATTATAAGACCATGCACACGTTTATGATTTGCCCTTGGTGCACAGATAATAACAGCACACTGTCACAGCATGTCAGATGATCATAAGGTCTTTCTGAAGTTCTGCATGCACCAGTCATCAATCACTAATGAAGCCTTTCATTGCTCAGTGCATGAAAGCTCAAACAGCTCGCGGTGTCTTCACCGTAAGACCCCACGCGCTCTGCTGAATGGTGACCTTGAGAGTCACGCGCGTTTGTCTCCTCTGAGATTCACAAAGCAACACTAAGCGCTGAGCCGCTCGCGCAGACGCTTCACAGTCAGTGCATTAGGAAAGCGTCGGTATATATCTGAGAGCAGCAGTCGCGGTAATCACGTCTTTAACTAATGCACGCTAACACATGCAGAGCTGAGAGTTTCGCCGAAGCACGCAGGTTTATGACGGGTAATAATTGAGATCAAACCTGATAACAGCGGTAACGTGTCCTTTCGCCCGGCCCGTGTGTGCAGCCCGATACAGGCCGGAGAAAGAGCTCTGAAGGACTCTGGTCGCCATCTTCCACTGATAGGACACAAACAGCAGGCGAGGAAGGAGTTAAACGGCTGCAGTTCCCGGCGGCGCCGCCAGAGGCGCTCGAGGCGATCCACCAGCCGCCGGGAGGGGGCGCTACTAACCAACCACTAACCGCTTACACTAGTCTTTCTCTCGCTAAGACTGGACATAACTTTTTGTAGTCAGTTACTGGTCTAATTTGAGTCCAACAAGTAAGACTGACTGGTTAACTGCTAGTTAGTCAAACTAGTCCTGCTAGTGACTATGTTAAGTAATATGCTCATTATAAATCTAAAGCTTCCCTCGGCTCTTATGAAGGCTCCTCAAGATTAAATGATATTTCAAATGAATATCTGAGTGTATTTGATATTTAAACTGAGTGTATTTATCAGTGTACTCTTTTGAGAACCGCTCTGAGTATTAATTACAGACGTCTCTGGGTGAAGGCACACCCTGATATATACATACATAAATACATACATACATAAAACTAAACAATTAGACTTGCAAAAAAAACACACGTGCTCAAAATGAGCCTAAAATGCTAAATGATTACTAATTAAGGAAGTAAGAGTCATTTCCAAAAGCACAAACATAAAATAACATTTAAAAAGTTACAAATGTTAGAATTGCTGTATGTCTTTTTTTAAATCTATTTATATTTTCTCGTTTTTATATTCTCATATTTATTTAGTTAATAATTTTCTTATAATGTAATAAACTGTTTGATTTTCATAATAGTTATTTACATTAATTATTGTCAGAATTTGTGGTGAACTGGACCAAACCATAAATAATCAAACCAAATATCATAATAATAATCATTATAATAATAGTATAGGGACCCCAAAACAATTAAAAACAAAACAATTTTGTTTTCTTTTCATAGATAATAACAAATAAGAATTTAATGATATTTTCACCACTGAAGTCACCTTAATCATAATATAATTATCAGAAAAAAGCCACAGACACACAACTCATATATGTTTCTCTTACAGTATTTACCATTATTTCATAATGTTTACACTTGACCTCGTCAGCCTCGACATTTTGATGCAATAGGGGAAAAACTAGAGATATTTAAAGCGTTTAAATATGGTGACATGATATTTGCCAATAAACAATATTAATTTTTCACTGATCATAGACACCATAACATTCAACCTTTAGACTTCCAAAGGCTGCCACAAAACATGTTTCGAAAGAGAAACGTCATTGCTTATTATTATTTACTTTAAAATATGCGGATTATTACTAGGCACACTGCATACATTGCTTGAGGGTTAATTTCAGGGTGAGTGGTGATAACTTGAATAAATAAAGTGATTTTTTTCACTCTCAAAATCAAGAGTGATATTGCTATTTATGTTACCTATACGGCGATATTTTTCACATTCTCTGGTTACATGAAGAAATAAGTTGATAACACATCACCACAGTAAAATCTGTATAAGTATTTACGCTAATAATATCTATTTGATGATTTTTTTATGCAACATGTATCCACCTTATTTTCCAACGCGGACGTTAGCTGTTTTTGATGCAATAGGGGAAAAACTAGAGATATTTAAAGCGTGAAAATATCTGTGGCATATGGTGACATGATATTTGCCAATAAACAATATTAATTTTTCACTGATCATAGACACCATAACATTCAACCTTTAGACTTCCAAAGGCTGCCACAAAACATGTTTCGAAAGAGAAACGTCATTGCTTATTATTATTTACTTTAAAATATGCGGATTATTACTAGGCACACTGCATACATTGCTTGAGGGTTAATTTCAGGGTGAGTGGTGATAACTTGAATAAATAAAGTGATTTTTTTCACTCTCAAAATCAAGAGTGATATTGCTATTTATGTTACCTATACGGCGATATTTTTCACATTCTCTGGTTACATGAAGAAATAAGTTGATAACACATCACCACAGTAAAATCTGTATAAGTATTTACGCTAATAATATCTATTTGATGATTTTTTTATGCAACATGTATCCACCTTATTTTCCAACGCGGACGTTAGCTGTTTTCTGTGAATGTGCAAGACTTCCGGTTCATTAGAGAAATAACGAGGAGAATAACACGCGTGCAGTCAAACTGTTTGCACTACAAACCATTGTGTTCATAATTAAGACAGTGCATTAATATAATATGCTAAGACACACCAGTTTATAATTTCAAGCAGCAAAAAAACCCCATTAAATTTACAAATGGCCCGCTCTTACAGGGAAAATAAGGTGGATATTGTCATCAATATAGGCTATTTTATAAATGCAACTATAAAACTATGTTTAAAACAACATGTATTTGTCATACAGTTGTCATTTTTTAATATTTTATATTTACTTATAAAATATCAACATGTATTGACGGGTTTTAGGATGGATCTACACGACACACATGTACGAAAATATATTACACATGCATTAACATACATATTTGTATAGGCTAGGTATATCTATTAATGTTTGAAAAGGTTCCAATTTCTAACAGGTTTCATGTATGTTTTTACTTCACATGACAATATATTTCATATCTGGAGATTTAATATATGCGTACGGGACTCTTATCTTCACTTCTGTCCTCGATTAAATCCAATGCTAAACTAAATCAAAGACTGAAGCGAGTATACACAAGAGTCCTTTGTCTATGAGAGCGCCAAGAACTCTCTGTTTTATAATATTTGTTATTTCTGACTCATATTTGGTCATTTCTCAGCTGACAGTAACAGATCTTGAATTCAGAAGATGGAGAGCTCAAGATCAGTTACTGACACCTCTGACCTGAGAAACAACACAGTTATTACAAACTGATAATACAAACACATGTTTACCGCACAGACGAGTTCATATTAATCATGACACGTTTCAACAATATGGATCATAATGGCTCTAATGAGCCGAGTTCTTGCTGGAATCACATCTGTCGATTGCAGTTTCTTTCAAAACATCAAAACATGTCTGTCATTGTAAGCGGTTTAGTGCCAGAACAGAGTATTAAACATTTTGTAACCAGTTAATATGAATAACTGGTTACATTACATTTCAGCCATTTCCCAGTTGCGACTCTTTAAACTTTGGCGTGTCTGTCAGAAGTGAGCGAAGCCGCTCTGAATAAACATCAGTCCTGGTTGCTAGGGCAGTTCTAGGTGGTTGCTGGGGTGATCACGGTGGTTGCTAGGTAGTCAAAAGAGTCCATTCCCAAGTCTCTATGTGTCACACTTGTGTTGTGTTGTATAACACTGGCCTCTAGGTGGCGCTGTCAGTCTCTTCTGAATTGTTTCCTCACACACACATCTGCATCACAGCCGTAGGTGATCATGCATCGCAGATGTATAGACGGAAAAACATCAGTATCATAATAGTGCAAAAACTGCAAAATGAAATATAAAAATACAACGGTGGAGAAATGTGAACAGAATGATTTACCTGCTTCAGTCACATTTAGCCAGGCCTGTCCTTACATTAAATACTATCAAAGCGAGTGTCTGTATATGCTGGAATGAGTGTGTGTCTGATGTCTCAGTGTCTTTGAATCGGCTGCTGTTCTGGTGATTTTTAGTCAGAGGGCTGTTACACAACAGAGTAGGACAAAACCAAACGAATCCAGCGGGTTCGCAACACTGATGTTCTCTGTCTGGGTTTGTTTCAGAGTTTGTGATTAACTCTGAAAGTGTCTGCAGCCAACAGCCAATCACACACAACAATCCTCTTCTATGCAGAAGATTAAAAATAGCAATGACAAATATCTTGAATTGGATTTAATGCATTTACAGCCAGGAAACAACACCGAATCTTTGAGAAGGCAGCTGGAAAAAAAAAGTACTATATCAATACAAATCAACGTAATTTATTTAATAAATAATTCATATAGGTTCAAAAAGAGCTTAAAAGAAAACATAAGCTTAGCAAAAGATTGAAATCTTCTAAGTCTAGGGTGACCATGCTTCCTCTTTTTTGTCTGGTTTATTGTGTCAGACATGTGTCACTTTACTCACAGCCAGTTTGTTTGCTCGTCAACACAGTTGTTGAACCAATCATCTGATCCGTGAATGTCATGTGACTAATTACACACAGCAGGTGTAGTTATGGCATCTGCCAGCAGCGGCGCTAACCTGTCAAACGTCCACTCTCGAGCTGCACTTGTGTTGTCCTGAAAATATCTGCCTTGGCGACATGGATGCACAGTGACCTGACTTGGCTCAGAGTTATTTTGAAGGAATCTGCATCGAACTTCTCAAGCACCTTCCTCGTGACCGAAACACCAGATGAATATGCATTCTCGCATTTGATGAACTTTCAGCACGAACGGAGTGTTAAATCTCTCTCACGTGACGTGTTCGGAAGTGAGCCTCCGTCAGACCTTTGTTCATGTTACCTTAGATTACAAGAAACGGCTTTGGAGCTTTTCCTTCTGCATGTGCTCCGGTTTCTTTTGAACGATCCTCTCAGCCTTTTATGGTCACTTAGAGAGGAATGGAGCGAGCCGAGCCGAGCCGTTCCAGCGCAGGCATTCCAGCAGTTGTGATTCTTGGCACACGGATCCACGGGCTTCAATCAAGAGCTTGGCATGGGTTGACCGCAGCACACAGCTGGGCACACAGGTCCACCAGAGGCTCCGAAAACATGCTGGCGTGGGCCTGGGAGTGATTTGGTCTGTCCCGAGTGACTCACAAGAACAGCAAGCTTATATTTTCCCACTTTTACCGTTTGGGTTGAACATTGTTTCATGTACAATGTCTGCAAAGTTCATGCAGTCCATGCAACACTCGGGCAGGCCCCCGTAATAATGGGACGCAAACACCTCTCTAGCTATGCAAGCGTGATTTCACACATTATTATTGTCTTCAGAAATGTGTTGATGCAATTCATAACAAGCATGTGTTGCGTTGTCCCACAGGGGACGCTATAGTGGCCGTTAGCCTTGGTTTTTATCTTTCAGGTCAACGCCTGTCATGAAGAATCTTGCTGAGCAGGTTAAAGTTAGTTAGTTAACTTCTAACGACACTATGTAAATGATTATTGGGGTATCATTTAAAAGA